CTGAATGGGGAACTCTGAACCCAACCACACTCTAAATAGCAGTGGAACGTAGAACACTGATGGATAGGCTTGGAAGATCATACTTGCAGATCCAAGCCCGAATCTGGCAAGCATTGAAAACACCAGGTGCTATATTTGGCTTCCTCAACTTTGCACAGTAGCTTGCTTCTTCTTCAAGGAAGAGAGGGCAAGATATGACTGCATTTTCAAAGTCTGCCTGTGTCTGTCTGCATATTTTAGAAGATTGAAAAGATTTTTGGAGGGAATCAACAGTGTGTTCAACTCCCCAGTGTATCTAGCAGAGGCGCAAAACGGATAGAGTGCACGGCCTCCAGCACCCATGTGTGTGTGAGTCTGTGTTTGTGTGTGTCAAGGGCAGACAGGACATGGTGGGATGGTAATGAGGCATATGCTGAGAAGATGTCAACCCTTCCATAGTGAGGGCACAGTAAGATTAATCTATACACAAACAAAACTTTAGGAACATGTAATGCACCAATTGACTTGCATACACAAAGACAAAAAGAGTAAGCCATAACTGAGCTAGCTGAATCAACTTTATAAATTTTGCTGCATACCAGTATGTAACATGTTATGAAAACTACTTTTATGTCAAGATGCTGAGATTAATGAGAGAAATTATGGTGCTACTACACTTTTATTGTACTGCTAAATCTCATTGCGGCCCAAGGATATTCTTTAACCTGTTATTAGAACACATTTATTTTCCCAGTAGAGTGAAATTTGTTGTGTTGTTTGACCACAGGCATTTTATATAGTCTGAATATGAATATTGCACACCAATGTTTACTTATCTAAATGTTGACACATTTTTTTAAATGGTTTTATATACAGTTAATTATAAATGCAAGTGAAAAGCATGAACACTGCCCCTGCAACCAATTCAATCACTCAGTCTCCAATCCAGAAAAGTTCATACTGCAAAAAGAACATCATGGCTGGACAGTAATGCTGTTATCAGATTACAAATGCACCAGTACTATACTAAGGTTAAGGTCAGGGTTAAGAATAGAGTTATGGATTAGTATTTGTGGGTTTGTGGTTAGTAGATTTACTTCTAAATCTACTTTTAAAACTTTTTTTTTTCTTCATGAATCATGATTATTTATGAATCAGCTTTACGTTTAAGGATGACCTGGGACATCCCTAGTGGGATCTTGGCTGGTTTTAGCTTTTACCTGTTGGTTACTGTATTTAATATATCCGCTCAGGTAAAACTGACATGTTTGGCTGGCAGAGCATTAGTCTGTGCCAATGAATGTGAAGTCATTATTAAACTAATGAGAGATTGAAAACAGAGAACAAATCAAACATTAGGAAGCATCCACTGAAGCCGATAATACTCGAGCAGTGTTTTTAACCCTGTCGAAATGGAATGTAATATGATAGTACCTGGATTTCCGGAAGCACTAAATAGACCGTTAAATTGAAGGTTTGTTGGACATAAGTAGTATTTAATCTCTAGGGCACGAAAAGCATGGCCATTTACATTCTGTCTCTCACAGTTGAGGTGTACCTACGATGAAAATTACAGATCTCTCCATTCTTTGTAAGTGGGAAAACTTGAAAAATCAGCAGTGTATCAAATACTTATTTGCCCCACTGTATATAATTTGAGATGTGGTGGAAATAGCAATCTGGTGGACATATTCATGCTACTTCAGAGGGGGGAAAATAATTAATAAAAATCTTCCTGTGATGCACATATGTCCATTGTTGGACAATATTAGTGAACAACTAGTGGGATTGTGAAAAGTGTGTTTCAAGAGAGTTTATATTCTGAATGTCGAGAGAGTCAAAAGTGCCTGTGCTTGAAGAAACACCCCCTCATTGGTGACCTAACCAACTAATCTTCTTTAAGGTTCTATTTCCTTTCCATTCAACTACACATACACAGCCTGCAAGATCTCTTTAATTTATCTTGTGTGTCAGTGTGTGTGTGTGCGTGCGTGCGTGCGTGCGTGTACGCGTTTTTGTGACAAATGAGGACATAAATTTGTATAATGACAAAGGTATGACATAGGTATTACAAGGAGAAGGTGACTTTTCAGGACATTACCCCATGTCCCCACTTTTCAAAACGCTTATAAATCACACAGAATGGAGTGTATTGAAAATCTGAAATAGCACAAAGTTTCCTGTGAGGGGTAGGGTTGGTAAAGGGCAATAGAATATACGGTCTGTACAGTATAAAAACCATTACGCCTATGGGATGTCCCCACTTTTCACAAAAGTAAACCTGTGTGTGTGTGTGTGTGTGTGTGTGTGTGTGTGTGCGTCCTGAGTCAGCACTATGCTCTCAGCATTAGAAAGCTCAGGAACACCAGCACACGCCACTCAAGCGGTGTCTCTTACAAACACACACAAACATACATTACAGATCTGAGCATGACTTACTGACTTCAGTCTACAAGCCTGTAAACATGCTCAGACATCCCCACCTATCTACACACTCATAAGCTGGTCCATCGGGTTATTAACACAGTGATCATAATTTACTGATGACATCACAGCACATTCTCTATGTGTATGTGTGGTTTGTTTGTGTTGGTCTTGTAGAATAGATTTATTCTACTTCTATTCTATTTTTGGTCGCTAAAATTTTAATTATTTATTTATAATCCATTAAGATTTAATGTGTTTACTTACCAATGGTAAAAGTTGAAGAATTGGTCGAAGAAAAAATATCATATTGTTTGACCACTAGCTTTGACCATTATTGTTTGACTAATCTAATATTGTGGGATGTGAACAGTGGACTTAGGGTGTTGATATGCTGAAACTTTTCATGTTCAGCCATAGGAAGTGGTGGATAGGGTTGAGGGGGTCAAGAAAAGAATAGAAATGATGAAAGAAATCATGGGATGATGGATAAGATTGAGAAGCTGGAGAAAAAAAAAAGTGGACTCTGCAAATGGGAGAGATGGAAAGAGGAAGCAGACAAGATGTGTATGAAGGGCGGAAAGAGAGGGATGTAGAGCACTATAGTGTAGGTGTGTGGAGATAAAGGAGAATTAATGTGCTGCGATAGAACTACATAGAAAGCTGGAACAAAGCTACAGAGAATGTGGCAAGAGAAAGAACGATTTTTACACCAAAAAGGCCTTGTAGAAATTGTCAAAACCACAACCTATATCTTCTACAGCACATTTACAGTGGGGCAAAAAAGTATTTAGTCAGCCACCAATTGTGCAAGTTCTCCCACTTAAAAAGATGAGAGAGGCCTGTAATTTTCATCATAGGTATACCTCAACTATGAGAGACAAAATGAGGGAAAAAAATCCAGAAAATCACATTGTAGGATTTTTAAAGAATTTATTTGCAAATTATGGTGGAAAATAAGTATTTGGTCAATTACAAAATTTCATCTCAATACTTTGTTATATACCCTTTGTTGGCAATGACAGAGGTCAAACGTTTTCTGTAAGTCTTCACAAGGTTTTCACACACTGTTGCTGGTATTTTGGCCCATTCCTCAATGCAGATCTCCTCTAGAGCAGTAAAGCACTAAATGCAGTAACTCCCTCCAAAGATTTTCTATGGGGTGAGATCTGGAGACTGGCTAGGCCACTCCAGGACCTTCAAAT